AATATAAATGTTTGGCTGTTTGTTGTTTCATCTGCAAGAATGGAAAAGCAAGTTGCATCATTAATCTTGCTGACTAGTTTTTGCAGGATTAAAATATTGCAAACCTCAATAACTTCGTTCTGAAATCGAGGGCTGGTATACTGAGCATTTTTTCTGCTTGACTCTAAAATGTTCTTAAGAGTCGAATCGTTCTTACTCCGGAAACGAAGCAATGCCCGAAAATTTCCGTCGTTCTCTTCACCTGGTTGTTCAGCAATTATTCCCGAATCCTTATGTCCTCTTAGAGCGAGACCTTGATTTCCACAAAATAGGATGGTTTCAATGATTGGAGTAATGTTTTTTCTATTTTCTAATTTTCTTCTGCTTGCTGCACTGTCAACTTGTTCATCCACAGGTTTCATCTTTCCAAATAAAATATCGTTTAATGTCCCAGCAGTTTCGATCGATTTTTTGTGATAAAGACATTTCTCGTGTTCAGAAACGTGTTCAGTTGTTCGTGTTCAGTTCACAGTTGGCCTAAAGGTTGCTTTCCAGAACCGGCACCACTTGGGGCGAAAAGTACACAAAATTTGCAAAAAGCACCACCCTTAACCTCTGAATATGCAAACCATTTCCAGCAAAAAAGCCATTTGTACTGAAATTTCAATTTTCTTTTTCTTTTTTCAGGAAAAACAAATGCTGGATTGGGTTCCCAAACATTTTTAAGTATATTCAGTTTTTTTTATCCTCGCATGTATTATCTTCTGAAAAAAGTCCAATGTATATGGGTGGGAAGTAACACTTTGAGGGCCGCTTTCACATTCATCAGATTCTGTTACGCTAGAAACGTTTTCTTCAACGGAAGTATCGCATTTCTGTTCAACAGAAAAACTTACATTGGTACTAGATGCTGTCACCTCACTAATTTCAGGTCGTGATTTTTTCTCAAAGTAATTAAAAATTGTTAAATTCTTGCGTTTAGACATCCTAAAGATCCAAGAACAGCAAAAATATATACATATATATTGGCACAGAAATATCCACTAAGCTACGATCTCAAAGTTTCGAGCTGGAATGAATAACCTCAACGAGCACAGAGTCTCCAAAACAAAACAGATTTAGAAACAAGCTCCGAAGGACAAGTAACCTATAGTAACCCGTTGTGGGGCTTGATTCCTCTCTAGGAGGTATTGCCTCTGCAGAGGATCAAAAATGTCATGGCCTCATTCTCAGAAATGTTATCATGATCGTCGCCAATAGCCTATATTGCATATGTAGTGCGATGTAAATAAAGTACCTATCTGCAACTAATCTCAAGAAGTCAAATGCATGAACGAATCAATAAACCAACAAATAAATTAATTAGAATAAAAAAAATAAGCGATTCCATGAATCAGCGAAATATTAACTAACCTTATCAACGAATGCGAAAATCAATTAATGAATTAATCACTCAACAAAAAAGCACACCGACTAATCAGTGATTTTTCGTTAACCACGAAACGTGATAAGTGATTTTTCGAACGATTTGTTTTCACATTGATTAATCAATTCGCTGGCTTTTTATAATTCTAGCTAATTTATTTGATCATGCATTGTTTATCTTATTTATTAATTCATTATTTCCATTCTCAGTTGACATGGCGACTATTTGACTATTTATTTTCCTATTCGTTTATTAGATGATTTTAAATTTGCTGATCAATTGATTCTTTAGTAACTAAGGATCAATTTAATGGCATGCACTGATACATTGATTCACTTAGTCAGCAATTTCTCCATTCATTTATTCATTAACCTATTGATTTTTTATTTACTGATATAAAGATTTATTTTGTCATTGATTCACTGGTGATTTACTAATTTATTGATTTGATCATTGATTCGTTGATTTACTCATTCACAAATTTGTTGAGCTACTAATTCATTGATTCGTTATTTCATTAACCCTTACAATTATTCATCTTAGCTTATTTTTTTAAAATTTGTAAGTGATATAATGTAGTAGCAAATAGCCACTTTGCTATAACTAGACACGGCTTTTACATCTAGAGCACTAGCTCTTTGAAATATAAGAAGGTGGTTTCGGATAGTAGACACCCTGAAACACAAAAGAGATTTTTATTCTATTAAAGAAATTTATATACTTACTTTTGTCAAATTTTCTGATCATTCCGATGTTAATTGGATAACTTCCGTTCCACAAATAGGCGATTATGGAATTAATTTGATGGGGCGAGTAAGTTGTAATCATCTTCATACCTAACAATATAAAATAATAATACATACAATGATAATACATACAATAGTAATACATACAATAATAATACGTACAATAATAATACATACAATAATAATACATACAATAATAATACATAATAAATCAGTTAATGTCATCAAGGCACATGATCAACTTTAATATCAGCTCATGTAATTAACATACAGCTCTAAATTTAATTGCACTTAAAAGATATCTTCAATACTAAGTCAGACATCGTGTGGTTGTGATACAGTTTGGTATACTTTCTACGATTTTTAAAACTTTTTTAAGTACGATGTACTCAAAATCATCACCAGACGTACCAGAAAATTTCATCCAAAATAATGATAATTATTAAAATATATTATTTATTACTAGGAGGCTTCGCCCCCTGCTCGCTGGCGCTCACCAACCCCCGGAACTGCTTTCGCAGTTCATAAAAGATATTTGAATTATGAGC